TTTAGGTTTTATGAGTTTTTTCGTCCCATAATCTTGGTATTCATGAGTATGGTTTATTCTAGATCAAATGAGTTGTCCTTTTAGACATTTTTGGGTGATTTGAGTCATAAAAATGTCATCTTGATTCTTTCCTTTCACCCATGCAAGTGATGTGAAGCTTGGAGTTGTATAATAAGTTAGGATTTTGACTTTGGGTACTTTCTAGCCATGTAAAGTCATAAAGTTGGAAAATATATGATTTACAATGTCATTTGAGACTAGATCTGAGCTTTAGACGTGATAACTTAATGGAAAAACACTTATTGAGGAAAAGTGGGATCGGTTTGAGTAAGCTAGGTGTACCTGGTGGTACGCTGCGTGTATGTAACACCGTAAATTTTCAAAATAATTTTTCACTTTTAATTTCTTAAAACGCATGTCATTTTAAATAAAAACCATTTAATAGTCAACAAAGTTTTCAAAACATTATCAAAATCCAGGATCCCCATTCGTGACTCTTTTTTCTTGTGTGTGTGTGTGTGTGTACAATCGAGCCGCCGACTTTCCCACGATCATGAATAGAACCTGAAACACATAACACATAACACGGTAAGCACGAAGCTTAGTGAGTTCCCCAAAATACCATATACAACACATATTAGCCACTCGATGCTATAACCCTGTATGACCCTTTGGTCAATGTGTCTCCGTGGGACCCTCCAGTCCCAAAACTTTGTGGACCCTCTGGCCCTAACTCTGTGGACCTTCCGACCCTAACTCTGTAAACTCTAAATCATACACAACATAAATCACACAGAATAATACAGTGTATAACATCATACAAATAGCATATAAAGTACTATGTCACACAACTCTAATTACCACTCTATGTAAAATATAGTGAGAATACTCACCTCGCAAGCTGGCTAGCATGACCTCATACACGGAATCTCCAACCAATCTCCGCCTAACACATAGAATAATTATCTCTAATCAATACTCTGCCCATACACAAATTCACTATAGGTTGACCCTCATCTCTCTCTAACTCTTGGAATGGGAAAAAGACCAACTTACCCCTCCATGGTCTCCATTACTCTTATTGGTCAAACCCTAAGTCAACAGCAGCTAAAATCGAGTCAACAGTCCCAAATTGACCTGACTCGCCGAGTACTCCCAATGACTCGTCGAGTCCACCTGTTTTCACAGAAGTCTCATGAAGGTCCGACTCAACTCGTCGAGTTATCGCATGACTCATTTCTTCGAGACAAACCCTAACCAACTCGTCGAGTCGGCTCATCGACTCGTCGAGTTCATTCAGACCCAATGTTCATTCAGGCGATTTCAGCCAGATCAATCACTCCAATCACTAGATCTATCATCTCAAGGCTCAGTAATCACGTAAAGCTTTGATCTTTACGTTCATGCATGATGTTATTACTACAAAATGTTAATACATGCTCTTCATGAGATGATTAAGTCCAAAAGCTCTCAAAGTTTACGAATTCAGTTTTCGACTTCGTATGATTTTTCTGTGATTTTCCTAAAACAGTGCGGAAATGTTAAAAACAAGTTAATTGCTGACAACTTTCATAACATTTTGTAACATGTTGAGCAAAGTGTTAATCTTTGATAATTTCATATATTATATGTGATTTTCTATTGAGCTACACTTATATAACAGAAAAATGGTTTACTAAATTGTAAGAGGCCTTTATCGTTACAAACAATACAAGATGAAGCATAATAAAAATAATCATATTTGGCTATACATTCTACTTACATAGAAAATGTTTACTATACGTTACAAACATTTTGATAAACTATAATAAGTATAGTTCATATTTCATATACATTACAAACAATTATGATAAACTACAATAGATATAGTTTATGTTTCATATACATTACAAATAATTATGATAAACTACAATTGGTATAGTTTATGTTTCATATACATTACAAACAATTATGATAAACTATAATAGGTATGGTTTATGTTTCCTTTACATTTCGAACTCATTACAAAAGGTTTTCATAAATTTTTTTCTAACCGAAACACGGTTTAAACCTGAAAAAATTCGGTTCAAAATCATTTTTGGAATTCTAAAAGTTAACTGGAGACTTGCCAATATAGACAATCTCACCAAATAATACCTTCAAAATCCTACAAAGGTAGGCATGAGGAATTTCTCATGGTTTGGTCCCTTTGAAACATTTCAAAACATTTCCTATTTATAGAAGAGGAAACATTCTCTTGTTTACTCCCACCATCGATGTGGGATGGATAAATTGCAAAGTACCGGGTTTATATAAAAAGGGTACATTACAAAGTACCGAATCTTCATATAAATGGGGTACGAATACAAAGTACTAGGTTTATATAAAAATGGGTACATTACAAAATATCGGGTTTTACTTTCAATTAAACGAGTTTATGTCGATTTAAACTTGCATAAATTACTTTAAGTATGAAAAATACTTGTACATTTCGGTCTTGACTTTTAAGACTACAATAAATTTTAAAAGGGAAATATTGGATTTTTCTGGAACAAACATTTACTTTTACAAGGAAAGAATTTCAAACACCGTATACAAAAACTTATGAACTCACCAACTAAATTGTTGACACTTTTTCGAAACTACTTGTATTCTCAGGAAATCAGTGAACCAGATAAACAACAACTTTTGAGGATGGGACGCTCAGACGTCAAACATTTCATTTTGTCATCATAATGTAATTGTTTTTGAAATATGTGAACATATACTACGATGTAACTTTTTCAATTATATTTATAATGATTGTATTTACTTTGAGAACTATTATTCTCGTTCTTTGATACTACATATGAAATCCTCCATCCCCGGACGTTTCCGCCATCCTTGGTTCAAGGGTGTGACAACTACCAGTAGCATGGGGAGGAGCTCAGGATGACTGCATGACATACACCATTGATTTAGCCTGAGATATTTTACTATGATTTATTTGACATGTGATTGATATGGTACACTGTTTTGACATTTGAGATATTATGGTTTATGTTTCGAATAATGATTTTTAGTAATTCTGGATTAATTAATGATTTTAAAAACGAAATTTTTTGACTATATTTTTGGGATGTTACATTTTTGCAGCTTATTTAGAGTAGCTGATCATAATGATTGAATGCGTACAATTTAACAATTTGAAAGAGTAAATGTGGACGAAAAAATAGCAACTAAAAGTGTACAAATCGAAAAGTAAATTATCATTTTAAGTCATTATCCATAATACGTAAGTCTTAAAATAAGAAACTCTTTTCGCCTTATTTCATGCCACATGCAGGCCTAAATTGGCAAAACAAACACTAGTTTCTGAGCATATAAGGTAGCTCTATATTCTAAAAAAACATTTCAGTGGTTTAGTCGTCTTTCATCTTTGCCAAACTATGGGACAAGAGAATTTATAAATGTTGATGCGAAATGAAAGTCGCTACTTTTGCTTAAATATGGAGAAAAAACTCTTTGAATTTCGTATTTCATCCATTTCAAAATTTAGTTATTTTGAGTCTTTTTAGAATAAAACAGTTATTTTGTGAAAACATTTCCCAAATATGGTCATTTTTATATTTTCCCTTAAAGAAAATATAGAAAACAATGACCAAATAATACTTTCATAAATTCAATATTTTTTTTTCTTCAGAAAATAAAGGTGTCTCGACGAGCACCATGACTAATTTTCATAAGAATATATGGTTAATGTTTTTAAGTCATGGCAGATGAACCTTAATATGATAAGAACACTAAGAATTTAGAGTCCATCCTTATAACATATTAAATACGTATTGAATCCATAACTCTTTCAGTGAGCAGAATAGCAGATTACAAAAATCGTAATTTACTCTATAATAACAATGATGACTATATAGTCATTTTTACAAACGCAATACTTGAGCTATTAACTTCTCATAAATAAAACCAAAGGGTTGCGAAAAAAAATAAAATAAAAATAAAACACGCATCAAAAGTAAACATGATTCTTTGTTGGACAAAATTAAAAGATGACATAAGTACACGGACCAAAAACATAATTTACACGGTATTTTATTTAGAAATTTAGATTTAGATTTTCACTAGGGTTCGCCCACCAATTTAGAAATTCAGACCCCTGAATCTTTTACCAAATTATGTTGCTTTTCTTAGAAGAGATTCTAACTCCTTTAAATAGAAAGAGCACCAAGTCCTTACAATCATGTACAAGTTTTTACAAAGTCTATTTTAGATTACTTTTATATCCTAAAGAGAAATTAAAACGAATAAAAAGGAAAAAATAAATACAAAGATCCAAAAAATTCTAAAATATGTAGAAATTAAAACGAATCTAGACAGTCTCCTAGTAAACTTGTCCGGTGGTGACACTTTACTCCTCCCATTTTACAACATTTTTTATTTTTTTAGTCATTTGTATTTTTACTTATATAACTAGGAAATTCCAAAACAATAAAAAACTAATTACTCATTAATTCTACTAATAAAACATATCTAGTTATCCGGACGTGTTTAGCATGCAACTTTTGAAAGCATCTAACTTTTATTTTCTTAGAAAAATCTTAAAAAAAAAAAAAAAAAAAACTCAAAATCTAAAAGCTATTGAAGTAACGTTTAATTTTGTTTATTTATTTATTTTTATAGTTTTTCAAATTAACTTAATTATCCTTTTTGAAAACCCTTGACGACGTGTTTTACATAATTTTTTTATGTAACTATTTTTTTTTTCGAAGATTCATTTATAAATAAAAGTTATAACTTCTAACTACCAACCACCAACTTTCAACTAGTTTTGTTGAACACGTCTATAAACTCATCCATTTCGTTTTGTTACAAATGATTATACAATAGCCAAGTTCAACATATTGGAACATAAGTTGTAACATAATCAAAATTCAAGGGCTATAAAAGATGAGAACAACAACTTAATTGAGTAGATGTATGTATATGTATGCAGCATAAACCTAATGATTTAAAAGACATAGTGATATGAAGAAATAAAAGAATGTAGAATTGAGGAAACTTGAAAAAATTTAGGAAAAAAATAAAAGTAAAATGTTTGAAAAGAAGACGCGGAAACTAGGTGGCGTCACTTGTGGAGCGTTACTGAAACCCGCAAGCATGAGTCGAGTTGCCAACTCAGCAAACGAAAACTATTATCAGCGTTGATTCTACGCACCGCCCCCGGATTTTTCCAAATTTCTTCTTTACGTAATTGGAATTTGGAATTCAATCTTATTTTTGATTTTAGTCTCTATCAATACCCCTCATCCGCTCATCTTTATTCTCATTTTGTGGTTTACCTTCTCAATCCACATAACAAATACACACTTCATTTCTTCATTTTTCATCTGGGGTTTGGTTCGTTTTCAAGATCACTCATGTCGTTCAGATTCAGAGGAGGGGTATGCACAAATTCTCTTGCTTTAGTTCCTGTTTTTGTTAATCAATAATGGAATCAACTTCGGAAGCTAGGGTTTTCTTTTCTGTCTTTGAATTCTTGGAATTATAGGTTTCTTTTTTCGCTGTTCCCGTGCTTGAGATCTGGTGACGATCGATTACAGTTAATCAGTAGCAATTACAGCTTTATTCTGTTCTATATTACTACCCAGTTTTGCTACTTTCTGTAAGATTGATGAACTTGGTTATGTTCGTAAAGGGGATCCTGTGTAAAGTTGTTTAAAGTGTTTATTTGGAACTATTGATTTCTATTTTAGTTATGATTTCTAGAACTATTGATCCTTCGAATCTTACACAAAAAAATATTTGATTCATAGGCAAATGCTTCATCTGGAATGGGTGTTGCTGATCACTGTAAAGGCACCTTCTTGGAACTGCAAAGAAAGAAGGCTCACCGTTATGTGATCTTCAAGATTGATGACAAGAAAAACGAAGTTGTTGTTGAGAAAACTGGAAGTCCTGCTGAAAGCTATGACGATTTTACATTAGCATTGCCTGAGAATGATTGCAGATACGCCATTTATGACTACGACTTTGTCACCTCTGAGAACTGTCAAAAGAGCAAGATTTTCTTCATCGCTTGGTTCGCTTTCTCTCTCTCTCTCTCTCTCTCTCTTTTGATCTATTCATTTCTAACATACTTGATTATCTTTTTGTGTACTTAAATGGATGTTATGGTGTTTGATTTGACCTTTTTCAGGTCACCTGCATCCTCTAGGATTCGAGCCAAGATGTTGTATGCAACATCAAAAGACAGGTTGAGACACGAGTTGGATGGTGTTCATTATGAGATTCAAGCAACCGACCCTACAGAAATGGAGCTTGATGTGCTCAAGGAACGCGTATACTGATTGGTTAGCTTTCTTCAACTTGTGTTTCAAATAAATGGCACCTGCCCTACAACAACACAAAATCACCCAATCTTGTACTCGTCCTCCCATTATTTCTACTTTTATGCAAATTGTCATGTATCTAGTTACATATGTAGTTGATCATCTTCTTCATACTATTATAATTGTTATATGCAAATATAAACCAATCTATGACATCCCTGTATGGGTGAACTCTCAATGGACAAAAGGTGTCTATTCATATTGTTCTTCAAAGACGATATTCTTTAAAGAAAACACGAGACTTTATGGAGAGCACAAGTACAATTTAAACATAAAACAAATAGACATAATCATTAAGGCATGATACATGAAACAACTTTAGGTTGCTGCCACCTTGGATACATCTTCTGGCTTTACCGCATCATAATCATCCTCATTTTCACCCGACATCTCCTCAAGTGATTTCCCTTTAGCTTCGGGGACCAAAAGTGTAAAAAGAACACCCAAAAAGTTAACAACACCCAACACAATAAGCGCGTTTTTAACACCAATACCCGGAGAATACCCGACATCGGGTTTCTTTTTATCTTGAGCCAAATATAAAAACCCGAAAGCACCAACAATCGCCCCGAGCTTTCCCGATGCGGCCGATATCCCATGGCAAGTTGACCGCAACCGGGCCGGGAAAATCTCGGCAGGCACGATAAACGTGGTGGCATTCGGGCCAAAATTGGCGAAAAAGAAAGTCAAAGAGTACATCACCACAAACCCGATTCGGTTTTCGTGTTCTTTCCAATGATTGTAAGGGATTGCTAATGCGAACATAAAGATTGTCATCATTGTAAACCCCATGAGTTGGATTTTGAACCGACCCATTCGGTCAATGAAGGCAACTGTAAACCAATACCCGGGAACCGTACTACAAAGCGCGATTATCGTTTGGGCTCTCGCGATTCTAAAAACCTCTTCAATCGCGCTCATGGTCTTCGCGGGCGGAATCCATCCAATCGCGCTAAAAACGTCTTTTTGAAATAGATTTTGACTGTAAAACGCGATATCGAGTAAGAACCACGTGGTGGTGGTCCCAAGGAGGTGTAGCCCGTGGCGGCGGAGAAATTGTTTTGTAAACAAACCGAACGAATTCGAATCTTTTTCGCTTATTTCCTCAACTTTTTTTTGTTCGGCTTCGATATCGACTTGCATAACACGTGCCATGTCCGCCGCCGCCTTTCCAGCGTTCTTGGCGACTAAAGCAGTGTACCGGGCTGTTTCCGGCATCTTCATTCGCCAGTAATACGTCATTCCGGCCGGAATCGCACCGAACATCAAGATGATTCGCCATATGTAATCGGCTTGGTGAGGAGTGGAACGGATTGCGTCGGTCACATATGGTGGAACGTTGTACTTAGCTTTAAACGACGACGATACGATAATTGCGAAAATGCCACCGACTAAAATCCCGAAACCTTGCATAGCAAAAACCGCAGCGATAAAAGCTCCTCGGGTTTTTTTATTCGCGTATTCCGACATTATAGTGGCGGAAAGCGGGTAGTCACCTCCGATTCCAAACCCTAGCCAGAATCTAAAGAAACAAAGGGTGATCATGACTGCTTTCGGGTCATTGCTAAACGAAAGGCCGGAAGCTATGGAGCAAATCACCATGATCAAAAGTGTCATTCCGTACACTTTTTTTCTTCCCATTTTGTCCCCGAGCCAGCCAAAGAAGAGTTGACCGGTTAGGGTTCCACAAAACGCGACACTGTTGACTGCTGCCGCCACTTGGGGCGGAAGTGTGCCGGGATTTGGGTGGCCCTCAATATGGTAGTAAATCCGGCCTAGTAATTTTGTGACAAGTGAGATGCAAAAGAGATCATATGCATCTGTGAAGAAACCCATTCCGGCGATTATAATTGCTGTGAAATGGTACCATTGTGTTTTTGCAAGATCAAGTGCGTGAAGCACTTGAAGTTGATCACCAGCCATTGCTAACTTTACATGAAATGATTAATCAGGAAAAAAAAAACTGTTGTGTATTAATAATATACACAAATGTGTTCTTGATGGACGTTAGAAACAAGAAATACAGAATATACCTTTGACAGCGATACAATTTTGGAACTAAAATACAATTTTGGTGATGGGAAATCATCAAATTGTTTGACGATTTTGAGATTATTGTATATTTTAAGACAGCAAATTTCTTGTCTGATTTCTTAGCTATTTGGACTTTTTTGTGTGTCAAAATTAATGAGTTGAGATGTTTGCCGAAGGCATATTTCAATAACAGATTAGCCATAGATATATATGATTTTGATGTTAACAAAGTCGAACAAAATTATGAAACATATTTTCTGATTATTAAAGCACACACTGTATTCTGGCTCTTGTTTTAGATTTTATTCTGAATTCGATTTTTCATATTTATTGACAATGTTAAAGTGTTTGGTGAACTTTTTTGTATTTGTAGATAGTAAAAATGCTAGCTCAAGTCGAGTTCTTTTTGGACTGAATCATCAGCCTTTGTTTCGTGTTGGTTGAAAGTGTTTTTTTTCCTTGTGTAATTTGCTATTTAAATATTGTATACCATGGGTTGTACCACAATGCGATGCTGCAGAAATTTTATGTATGGACAGAAATGAGTAATAATTTATAACAATCAATTAGACAAGGTTCTAAAGACAAGGTTCTAAATAACGCAAGACGTGAAATTGCAGCAATGTTAATTCCTAAGGTTTTACAAACCATGATAAAGCCATATGTTTTAAAACCATGATGACGTGTGTGTGCGTGCATGTATGCGTTTGAAACAAACATTACCACCACCATCACTGCTCTAACACATTGTTGTATATACTCATCGAGACTCTGTCTCTGAAAGGAGTGTTGATATATATCACACAACGGTACAAGACCCTATCTTCCTTATCTCTATGATGACTTTCTTGAAGAGTAAACTAAAGTATATTGTATAAACTACAAAAAACTAAACAACTTGAATGTACACCAAAAAAAGAATGTATATAATTATAGATTTATATTAAATGTCAAGTTTATAAAAGTTTTATATCAATGCTAACAACCCATTGGTTTCGCGCATTGTCCTACTCCATAATTATTATATATAAATAGAACTCAATGGTTTTATGTCCGATATTAACTTAACCGATCTAACAAGAACACAATGGTTTCAAGCACAATAGCATCATGCGTCTTTTCTAGCAGATTTAAAAAAGTTTTTATATATATATATATATATATATATATATATATATATATATATATATATATATATATATATACCTAATATTACACGCCATGGTGCGCCTCGACTTTATTTGTCTCGACACATGCCACGCCTAACAACATCGTCATGAGGTTTTTCGGGACGTTGGAGTGCACGGCTTAGCACACCTTTTAGAACACTAGAAATAGGGATGGGAAAAATAGAATATATGAGCCAAAAAAAAACTCCTGATCTACTTTGGTGAGCAAAAATTGTTATGGGGCTCCCAATTAAGGAAATCGGAAAAATTCATTTGTCAACAATCTGCTAAGATTTCTAGATCGAGGTCAACAAATCAAGCGAATGTTATATATATATATATATATATATATATATATATATATATATATATATATATATATATATATATATATATATATATATATATATATATATATATATATATATGTGAAAATGCAAGAACCAATACCAATATTACACATCATTCATTATGTTTAGATAATTATAATTCATTTAAATTATGTGAAAAGGGTATATAAGTAAATGATTAAAAACAGTTTTCAATCGGTTTTATTAATTTTATAACCATCGGTTTTATTAATTTCATAACCATATACATATAAACTTCTTCATTAACATCTCCATTCATACAACTTATGAACATCGACTTCATCTCTATGAAATTAACTGCATCACTTTGTCGTGTATAATCTTTCCTTCGGTTAAAGAAGATTATCATTTATTTAACAAATATTGCTTTGCAATTAAAAAATATGTCTACGCAAGAATTTGAAAACTCATCTTCTGATTTTAACCATGGAGCAACTGAATCTTTGAAATATTCATCAATTGTCAATTCTCAATCAACAATAAACGAAGGTGATAACGGCAACTTTTCATTCCTTATATTCTAGTTATCATTGATATAAAAAATATTGTATTACAAGTAAAAAAGATGTCTACGCAAGCATTTGACAATTTAAATTCTTATTTCATCCATGAAGCAACCGGATCTTTCAATTATTCATCAATTGGAACTTCACAATCAAGAATAAATGTTGGTGATAAAGGCAAGTTTTCATTCCATATTATATATAAACTGCAACAAATAGACATTTGAAAATTTGACAGGAAAAAGAAACGCAGATCAAGAATAAAAAAAAAAAAAAAAAATCAAAATTTGATTTTTAACATCTAGTTTTAACACTACCACATCCCTCGTCTGAAACCACCATTGCAACCCTGTAAGACCACCACCTAACCATTGGTAGCAGAAAATAAACCAATCCCAACATGCTACTCAAAACCTTCTCAGCATCTCAGAACCAATTATGATTTCAGCAAAATAAACAAAGTCAAGAAGCCACAATATACAAATGGCATTTAATGGATTTACTTGTATAAAAAAGGGAATTTTGAATTGAAGATGTTTTCCACTTCATAAAGTTATTGTAGCATCTGTAGAAAATGCAAGAATGGAATGGAATTCAAAAGGAATCAAGCTAACCAAACATCCATGTAGTCCTTATTTCCAGACAATACAACTCCAATATTCAATAGTCTGCAATCATGTGATCTTGTCAACTTGCAAGCCAAAAAAAAAAATTGTCGCCTTACTACAATATCTACTCTATTATGATAGTTCCTTTTGTTTAGAAACTAAAACTTTTGAAGGGTACAAACAAATTTGCAGGAAAATATTGAAGTGGTTAAAATACAAAAAGCAGCAAGCATATATATATATATATATATATATATATATATATATATATATATATATATATATATATATATATATATATATATATATATATATATATATATATATATATATATGTGCTCTATCAAGCTCCTCGGTCACAGAATGGCTTCAGGCACCAACCAAAGACTCCTTTCTTTTCCTACTAAAAATATTAACTGAATTCTTAGAGATTACCTGCATGTATCTAGTATCTTGAACCTCATCTTCTACATTTTTTTCTTTTAACTTGGATAAATAATGATAACCATGATTACTTTCAAATACAAATATACAATATTGGTCAAAGTAAGAAGCAAATAGATAGACTAAAAGTCCCATACTTTACTGGTAATATTACCAAGCTTACATGAACCAGAAGTGTTCCATCTTTCTAAACATGCAGATGCAGTGCATCAACAAGACAATGGTCCTGCACCAGAAAAGTGGAAACTTTGAACACATGAGATTCTTGTTTTTGAAGGATTTTAGTACAGTGAGAGACATATGTTGATATTGGTGCTTCAACAGTTGAACCTGTATTGTAAATAACACATAAATTACAAAAACTAATCCATCTCAATTACAAATATCATATGAATCATGAAAAAGTTCTATACATTTACGACACAATCTTTTGTAAGCAGTTCACATAAAATCTTAATTACCACATTAGTATTTCAATTTTTAAATATACTATATAATAACTAACAGACCAAAGAGTAATTCAGATTATGAAGAAAAACACCCTAAGAATCATGTTCAGAACTTTATTTCTGGTCATCCAATTGAAATTTCATAAATAATAACCCCCAACAGATAAATATGAAAATTGATGAAAATCCAATTTTTCCAAATTATGCCATAAAAACCTTATAGATGGAAACCAATTAATATTGATCTACTGGGCATTTTGTAGAACACGAGGTGTGCAGGAAGGGAAAATCGAAATTAAACAGTATCACCTCTTGTTGAATGCAATTTCTATAAGGAAAATGATACTAATTTGAACTTCACCACAATTATAACTTCCAAACATTATTATTTTAATTAAAACAATGATTACCCTGAACAAATTGGGAAAAATCGGTTGATTAACCGAAGAAAAGAGTCTTTAGAAGTAAGTCTTTTTAATCAGTAATTGAGAGAAGATCTAGAAAGAATGAATCAGAACTGTGGAGAGCACCTGTGGTGGTTTGGACGGTTGTGGTAAGCAGCAGTGGCTTTGAACAACGGTGTCGATCGGTGAAGGTGTAGACAACAGAGAAATAGAAAGAGAACGAGATACAGAGAAAGAAGAAATATAGCGCTTATGAGGGTATTAGGCTGAGAAACTGGACCATGTATGTAGTGAATATGTGGTTGTCCGATTCTCAATGGTTGTGGCTTTATTGCCCGTGGATGGTGGCAGGATGAAATGATCAATGGATGTAATGATGGCATAGTTTGTGGTAGAAAAACGTGTGCTGGTGGTGAAAAAGTGGTGCGGTGGTACTTCAGAGATGGTACCAAGGCGATGAAATGGTAGTTAGTGACGGTGGAGGTCGACATAGAAGACAAAAGGTGATTCGTAGTTGCACATGTTAGGATTAAAGTGAAAAACAAGCATGTGGAACTGCATCAAATTAAAATTACCCAACTAACCCTCCGTATAAACTCCTAATCGTTTATTTATTTAAAAAATAAATAATCTTTTAATTACAAATGGCCACATATATATATATATATATATATATATATATATATATATATATATATATATATATATATATATATATATATATATATGATGAGGTTCAATAAAGAATCATAATTAACCAATGAACCATAAAACCAATTTTTTTTTTCAACTGTTAGAACTTATTTTTTATCAAAAAATGAACAAAAAAAACTAAAAATATAGAAATTAATAACTTTTTATCCTTTTTCCAATGATATCAAATTCAATTTTTTTTAAACGTCAAATTCACAATGTAAATCTTTGAAAATTCGCAATATGAAACCGGATTCACACTGTGAATCCGAAAAATATTTTTCACATTCACAATGGTAATATATAAATTTATATATTTTTTAATTTTTTTTCGATAAATAATAAGCTATAAAATTGAAAAAAAGATTTGGTTCCTTGAAAAACTAATAATTATGGTTCTCTATTGAACTTTTATATATATATATATATATATATATATATATATATATATATATATATATATATATATATATATATATATATATATATATATATATATATATAGGGCTAGGTTATTTTGTTTTCTACATTTATTGTGTGCTACAATGCACCAACAGGAATTTAGTAAATTAAATAATTATTTAATTAAATAAATATAAATATTAAATGATTTTCATAATTACATGTATAGTAATGATCTTCATAATTATAATTCTCTTTTTATGGAAACTAGTTAAATTCATCATTAATGTCAGCAATAACATTCTTTCAGAATGAAATTGCATCTAGGTTTTATATATGAATTCGTATTTTGTTTAAGGACTCACTTATTTAAAATACAATAAAGTTGCATGGAATATGAAGAACGAGAGTGTATTCTACTCATTCTGTTGGAATACACTCTCATTTTTCTAAATATAAATTCATTCCGAAAGAATATTATTGTTGACATTAATGACGAATTTAATTAGTTTCCATAAAATTGAGTTATAAGTATAGATAGCATTTAATA